TAAATAAAATGACATCACAATCGTTTGGACAAGAAGCAGTTTTCAAACTTAGTGTGACAAAGATTTTCTAATTGTTGTGCCAGTTCCAATCATCAGGTATGCTCTGCTTGAATCCGATCATGGGCTCATTGTGGCCTTTGCATATCCAACTTGTGTCATTTCTTTTTATTTGCCAATGGTTTGTTTCAATTGTCAAGCCATCCACCACTGATATTCTTTCATCCTTTTTCTCGCCCTTGAAATGTTCTTTCTATAACATCTCACAAAACTGTTTCCTCTTAAAATATCCCTTACCTAATTTCTATCCCTTATGTTAATTATGTGCTAAGCAAGGGTAGCAATGGTTGCTCTGCAGTTAGCACTGCTGTCTCAGTGCCAGGGACCTCGTTCGATTTCAGCCTAGGGTGGCTGTCTGTGTGGAGTTTACACAGTCTCCCCATTTCTGCATGAGTTTCCTCCGGGTGCTCTTGTTTCCTCCCATAATCAAAAGATGTGCAGGTTAGGTGGAGTGGCCATGCTACAAACTGTCTGTAGTTTCTAGGGATGTGAAGGTAGGTGTATTAGCTATAGTAAATGTGGGGTTACAGGGATAGGGTAAGGGGCTGGGTTTGGGAGGGAGCTCTTCAGAGGGTGGGATGCTATTTGAAGAGTAGGTGAAAACTTGATGGGCTGAATGGCCTCTTTCTGCACTCTAGAGATTCTATGTTCAACAAACTGATTTGTTCTTTCACATCCCTTAGCACTTCGTAGTTTTTTCTGTCTTGCTGATCCTTCAAACCACATTTCTAAGTGTAAAAATCAATTAAACGAACAATCTTTAATGTATAGCTACATATAGGGACTTTAAGAATACACTAACTAGCATACAAAGATGGCTGCTTTAATCAAAAGCCAAAATCAGCTTGACAATCAACGCACCTGATGGGACTTGAATGGCAAATATTGTGGTGTAGAGTAGAATTGCAAGTTACAACTATCCTGTAAGAGATGTTAATAACTTTCCACTTAACCTCTGAGATGTGCCAGTCAATTTGTTATCTGCAATGCAAAGCAATTAAGAAGTCAACACTACTCGAAATAGCATCTACAGATGATGTGGAATCCTCTAATTCTAGACTACAAAGAAAAAGACTATGAAGAAAGCAACCAAGTTGTATTTATTTGTATTTGTGCTCTTTCATTTAATCAAGTAATCAACTTTATAAAATTTACATTTCAACGGCATTCCTCAGAGGACTTTCAAAGAGATTTTTAAAAGAAACTGCCTACAACTCCTCAACTGCTGGCTAGCCAATCATACAACTCCAGAAAGGATTACTAACTCCAGTTTTGGTCTTTATCTTAAATGCAAAGACATTGACAAGTTTGTTTCCCTCAGTTATTTTGTATTTACGTTGTTGCTAATTGAATAAACTCTTTATCTTTGGTGAATTGATCTCTCCTTGTATGTTTACAAGCATTTACAAGTATTGTTGCACATCTTAGAGTATATTATATTAAACTTCCATTGGTTCAAGCCTACCCCAACAGCTTTGTTGCAGTCTTTTCAAAGACAGGCTGCACAAACAGAGGGCGTGGGGAAAGACATCAACATGTATAACGGGGGAAAAAAAAAGAAGTCATATTCTGCTCACGAATTGGCAAGAATAGAGTGTTTAGTTTCAAAACTCATGATCTGTCCATAACAAAATGTATTTTACCTCCTTTCATCATGTCCATGTCTCGCATCCACACAAGGCATCCACACATACTAAATCAAGCTCTTTACAAGTTGTTTATTCAGCTTTCTGTTTAGTAAGTCTCTTCTCACAAAATACAGCCTTTTTCATTGCTATTGTTGTTGTACCTTCCATCTGCAGATATTATGCTTCCTAACTAAAAGCCCTAATTCACACTTATCTTCTTGCCTGCAGTTCAAATTACCTTCTGGAGTACTGATGTTCTTCCAAATTCCTCTTAAAAACACTGAAGGTTTGCCCTTCTTCATTAACAGATTCTTTAACCTGTTTCTATTGTTCATTCATGTTGGTGGTTTCATTGTCTTTTCTAGACATTGTCATTATCTTTATTTCACTTACAAACTCATTTACTTCTTTCAGTGTTCCTAAGTTTACTAATTTCTGCTTATTCTACCATGGATATCCTTCAACTGAAATACTGTTGAATGATAGACTGTTTTAGGTTCTCTAACTTTCTAATCTCTTGCATATCCTTGATGATCATGACATTACCCTTGATAATTGTGGCTTCAATGACTACGTTGAAGCTAAAGGATGAGGGAAAACATCATAACTAGCAGAACACACCATAAGAAATTGCCAGTCCAGCAAATTTCAGGCTATAAGCAAGATTTTTCAACATTAATGATTAGGCATATCATTTGTAGATTTCAATTCAAATTGAAATAAATAGCTTTATCACGTACCATTGCCAAAATAGAAGCTATTTACTAAGCCTGTCAGTCACACTTTTGTGCAAGAACTTGAGCAATGCTAACTGGAACAACTAGAAATGAGAGTTCTCAGATAAACAGTTAGAGACCTTATGATTGATTGTATGTTAATTTTGGGACAGGGCCCAGTGTAGCAGAAAGCTAGATGAAACTGAAATCACACTTACCTTCTGCACTTGTCAACTCATACTGGCTTCACAAGAAATGCTTTCTTGAATGAAATGTTAATCTTCATGATGACTGTGTTAATAAAATTGGAAAGGGTAGCTATAACAATAAATTCACAGAGTGCGTAAGGGATAGTTTCCTAGAGTAATGTTTCATGGAGCCAACCAGGGAACAGGTTACCTTGGATCTATGGGTAATGAGGCAGGTTTAATAAATGACTGCAGAGTAAAAGATCCCCTAGGAAGCAGTGATCATAACATGATGAATGTAATGTTCAGTTCAAGACTGAGAAACTTCATTCAGAAATAAATCTGTCTAACTTAAATAAAGGGAATTACAATTAAACGAGGACAGAGTCAGATGAAGAGAACTGGGCAGATGGATTAGCAGGAATGCTAGTAAAGTTGCAGTAGCGAATTTTGAGGAGATAATTCATGACTCTCAGCATACCTCCTGGTATGGAGGAAAGATTCTGAGACAGGGATAAATCAACCAACACTAATCAAGTAAATCAAAGAGAGTACTAAGTTGAAAGAAAAAGCATCTAAATAGGCAAAAGTTAGTGATAGCCCCAAAGACTGGGATAAATTTAGAATCTAAAAAAGGACTAAAAAGATAATACAGAGAAAGTAAACCATGAGGGCAAACTAGCGAGGAATATAAAAGCTGATAATAAGAGCTTCCTGATGTATATATAAAAAGGAAGAGAGAGGTCAAAGTGAACATAACCTTCTTAGAAAATGAAGCTAGGGAGACTTTTATGGGGAAGAAGGAAGTGAAAAAGGAGTTAAATATATTTTTTGTATCAGTCTTTACAGTGGAAGATACTTTGAACATCCCATTAATACTAAAGAATACCAGGGAGGAACCAAGTACCATCACCATCACCAAACAAACTAATGGGGCTAAAGACAGATAAATCCCCTGGCCCTGGTGGCTTGCATCCTAGGATCTTAAAAGAAGTAGCTACAGACATAGTAGATGCATTATTGTAATTTTTGAAAAAGTCCTTAGATTCTGGAGAAGTACAGGATTGGAAAACTGCCAATGTGACATCCCTATTCAAAATGGAGGGAGGCAAAAAAGCAGGTAACAATAGGGAGATTAACCTAACATCTATTGGTAGAAACATTCTGGACTCAATTATTACACAGAACATTTAGAAAATCATAATTTATTCAAGCAGAGTAAGTATGGCTTCACGTAAAGGAAATCATGTCTGACTATTTTATTAGAGGTTTTTGAGGAAGTCTCAAATAAAGTGGATAAAGGGGAACCAGTAGATGTGTTGTATTTGGACTTCCATAAGGCATTTAATAACATACCTCACAAAAGCTTAAGTCATAAAAGCACAGGGTGTTGCAGATTGTACATTGGCAAGGATGAGAATTGACTAATTGGGAGGAAACAAGTGGGAATAATGGGTTCTTTTCCAGGTTGGTGACCTGTGACCAGTGAAGTTCCACAGGAATGAGTGGTGGGCTGCAAATGTTTACAATACATATTAATGAACTGGAGGAAGTAAATGTACTATAGTCAAATTTGAAGCTGACAAAAATAAGTGGAAAGGCACATGGTGAGAGGGAAAGAGAAAAATTGACAAGTTAAATAAGTGTGCAAAATGTTGGCAAATACTGTATAATGTCAAAAATGTGAAATTGTTCATTTTGGAAGGAAGAACAAAAGAACAGCATTATTTAAATAGAGATCAACTGCAGAAAACTGCTTCACAAAGGGACCTGGTGTTCTTGGGAACTGCAACTGTACAAGGTGCTGATGAGGCCACATCTAAAGTACTATGAGCAGTTTCTGTTTTCTTACTTAAGGAAAGATATTATTTAAGTGGGCATAGTTAAAAGAATGCTCACTGGGATGATCCCTTGTATGGAGGGATTGCCTTACGAACAAAGATTAAACAGGTCAGGACTCTACTCATTGGGATTTAGAAGATGAGAGGTGATCTCACTGAAACATATAGGATTCTTTAAGGGCTTGATAGGTTAAATGCCAAAAGGATGTTTTGCCTCATGGGAGAGTCTAGGATCAGATGGCATAGTCTCAAAATTAAGGTACACCAATTTAAGGCTTACATGAGAAGAAATTTCTTCTCTCGGAGGGTTATGAGTGTTTGGAACTCTATACCACAGAGCTGTGGGGGCAGATCCTGGTGCATGTTTGACTCTGAGACAAATAAATTTTTGATCAGAAGGGGAATCATGGGTTATGGGGAAAGGGCAGGAAAGCGGATGTGAGAAGAGTTGGGTTAGCCACAGTCCTATTGAATGGCAGAGCAGGCTTAAGGGTCCGAATAGCCTACTTCTGTTCTTATTTCATATGGTCTTTACATTTGAACTTCACTTTAAATAGAGCAACACACATGCAGAGCTCAATTAATTTATTTTTTTGTACGTTTCATAGTTGAAGCCTATACAACACTGTCATAAAGAGAAACAATGCGAGGAGATTCCAATGGTTCCTCTCAATGACGTATCTGCTTAAATCGAAGCCCACAATAACCACATGTTCCAACTTTTGTGTCTTTGTCCTAAGAAAGAAAGAAACATAAATCAAGACAAAATTTGGACAATATTCACAACATTTAACCTGAGAGTTAAATTACTAAATATAAAGTGTAAATATAAATTACATATAAATATAATTTTAAAAATTACAATTCTATGTTATTCTATGCTTAGGAATGCACTCATGGTACCCATTACACAAGTATATGATAGCCTAATACAATGGTTTCCCTTGCAATTTGTACTAAGTATGGCTTTCAAAGGAAGTTAGTATGAGACTTGGCAGCAGTTACAAATTAAGCTGCATTGTTTTTGCAACAAGTGAACATACAAATACAAGATCAGGAGGGCATGCAGCTCTGTAAGCTTGTTCCCCAATTCAATTAGATCACGATTGATCAGAACTTTAAATCTGTTTACTTGCCTCAGTTCCATCTCCCTCATCACCCTTCCCTAACAAAAATCCAGCAATCCAGCATCTACAGTCTTTTACAGTACAGCATTTCAGATTTCTATTAACTTGTATCAAAAATGTGATTTCTTCAGCTAATAATTCACTTGTAGTGATAAAATTAGCAATTATTTTAGTTATTCTATACGTTCATAAAATTTATGGTTTTATAGAATGACCAGAACAATTGCTAATTCTTATAATCACTTCAGTTCAATTTCTTAAAATCATCTCTAATTCCAAGGTGACCAAAATTAATTGCTAACAAACATTAGGTGTATTATGCAGAGATAGAGAAATGGTGGCATGTGGCAATCCAAACAGTGAGGCCATGGCAGCTGGTGGAATTTAAACTCAATTATAAAACCCAAAATTAAGAGAGTCTCAGTGTAGGTGACCATTAAACCATTGTTGACTGGTGTAAAACCGCAATCTGGTGTAAAACAAATGTCCTTTCGGGAAGGATATCAGCCTCGGCTCACTTACACGTCATTCAAGATTCACAGCAATGACTCTGAAATGACCTAGCAAGCTATTCAGTTCAAAGGCAATTAGGGATGGGCAATAAATGCTGCCTTGCCAGTGATGCCTATATTCTATGATTTTTTTTTAAACAATGTAAGGCTACATCACCTAAAATCAAATTTACATTATTCAGCGTTTCAATTGCAAATTTACCAAGCCCCACATTCTCTGCACTCAGCAAAGAGGAGGTTTCCATAACATAGTCTTAGCAAAAACAGAGGTCACAGAAATGCAAACATAAAACTGACCTCTCTGAGAAAGCAACCTTGCTATCAGGTGATTCACAGACATCCATGCACAACCTTCTCAATCCACCACTGCCATCTTCTAGGAGGAGAAAAACAATGGCTAGTTTCCAGATTGGGAAACCAGGGTGTCTTGATGGATGGGTGTACTTTTTTTTGGGGTGGAGGAGGGGGAGGTGGGATCAGAAAGCAGGTACGGACCTCCAACTGCTCCACCATTGGGGCAATCAAAGGCACAGACAGGATCAAGAGTGTGGTCTCTGAAAACCATACCACAGCGTTCCCTCTCCTCATGACCTCAACCTCTCAAGCAGTGCATTAAGAAGTACTCAATGGATAGCCCAAGCAATAGGCCTCAACCAGTGAACTTTAGAATTCAGCTTCTGATTGGCTGGTAGTTTCTGCTGATCTGGAATGCTCTTAACAAGCTAACGGGAAGGGAATACAGCATATTTACAAGCGATACGGATGGTGTGTTAATCACTATCCAACATGCTCACCTCCATAGACTAAAAACAATCGAGAAAAACTCAGCCTTAAGTGCAGCATATTCCTAACATTTCAACAAAGAATTATACATATGAAATCTGGTAAAACCTGTTTTATGTAATTAGATTATCTGAATGAATGCAAGCCAAACACATTCTTCTCACATATAACCTGCATGCGCACAATAGTTTTACCTTTGTATGAAGTAAATCATTTTTCTTTGCAACAGTCAAATGCATATGTTTAACTTAATAGCTGTTATTCAAGAGTCAGAAAAATTTATGACAGATCCCAAATTTCTACCCTAAACATTTAAAGAACAGATAATGTAATCAAATACTTACCAAGTTTATGTACACCTTAGGATGTCCAAGAGCTCCACCACCACCATCACATGAAACCAGTCTGTCTGATACCTCAGTTACAGGCTCCTCAGCTACTAAATCAATAGCAAAGCTTTCATTTACCTATCAAAATACAGTTGGAACAGAACAAAGTGTGACATTTTAGCTTTGACCAAAATAAACATCAAAATTCCTTCCCAGAATCTGCAAATGCTCCAGTTATTTTTCACACTTGTTATATAACTGATATGTTCAGGTGTTCGATATTCAAAATAGTACTCAATGGTAAAGACCATTAACAGGCATCTACCTCAAAACAAACATTTCAACTAAGTTATATCAAAATACAGAGATCAAGTTTATGACTTTGCATTCTCCATGCGAATTTGGAGAGATGGAAGTATCGGTTTTAATGGATAGAAGATAATGCATGCTGACCTCAGTCTTTGGATTTACAATATTATTTCACATCAAATTCTGGATATCTGCATGCTATATAATAAAACATTCTCCACGACGTGGCCAGGAGCAGAGAAAAAAATTGGTGGTAAATGGGAGTACGACTGAGACAGCATAACACTGAAATTTGTTGATTTTAAAAAGTCAGCAAGCAGTAAAGTAGAACGTATAAGACTTCAGGAAGACGTGGACAATTTTGCAGAATGGGCAGTCAAATGGCAAATACGATTCAGTATGGAGAAGAACGAAGCAAGACACTTTGGTAGGAAAACCAAGAAATGCGAGTACACATTCAGTGCAAAATCACTGCAGGATGTGAAACAGCGGCACTGAAATTAGTTAACAATTGAAATATATCCTTCTACCTGAAAGTTTCAATACAGATGCATGAAGTCAGGAAGACCAAACATTTTAGGCTTCAGAAATATGGATAAAGATTACAAGAGAAAAGTCTTATGATAAATTTATGCACAGCATGAGGTTATTCCACATTTAATGGCCTGGTCAATTTTGGAGATCTTATTAGTGAAAAAGGAATTAAGAGACAGCTTCACCATGAAGCCAGGAATGAAAAATTCATTATGAGGAGACACTTAAAAAAATAGTTATAGTTTCACTGGAGCTTAGAAAGACATAAAAATATGATTGCTTTAAAATCATGAAGAATATTGATAGAAATATTTCCATTGCAGTTGTTCATTGGCTCGCCAAGCCAATTGTCTGTGGTACGCAGACATTTTGTTACCTTTCTAGGCAACATCATTGCGACCTCTAATCGAAGCGTTGGTGTTCTGCTTCCTTCCAGATCTATATGATCGTCTGGTAGGATGGCCTCGTCGCTTCCGGTTCTGTTGTTTTAGCAGCGGTCTGTATATGGTGTCTATTTCTATGTGTTTGTTAATGGAGTGCCGTGTTGAGAACCAGGCTTCTCTACAACACAAGACCCTACATCAAAAATATATCAGAAATGACTACCAGACTCCTAAGACCACATAAGATCATGATTGCACACAAACCTACAGCAACACTGTGCCAAATGTTATCAATGAGTAAAGACCCCAAAACATTAATAAACAAGACCAACTTACATGCAGAATACCATGTAGCGAGTGAACTAAATATTACATTGGACAAACAGGGAGGAAACTGACAACCAGGATACACGAACACCAGCTTACAGTAAAAAGACACGACCAATATTCACTTGTCTCAATGCACACAGACAATAAGGGCCATCAGTTCAACTGGAACAAAGTGACCATACTGGGACAAGCGAACACCAGACATGCAAGGGAATTTCTGGAAGCCTGCTTCTCAACACGGGACTCCATTAACAAACACATAGAAACAGACCTGTATACAGATCGCTGCTAAAACAACAGAACCAGAAGCGAATAGACCATCATACCAAAGGATCATATAAATCCGAAAGGAAGCAGAACACCAACGCTTTGATTAGAGGTTGCACTGATGATGTTGCCGAGAAAGGTAACAAAACATCTGCACACTACAGAACAACCGTCTCAGCGAGCTAAAGAACAACTGCATCCACAACCCAAGCTACAAATTTTCACTAAGACCTTAAAAATATTCCCACTATTTAGGAAAGATTGAGAGGGAGGGGTAGAATCTGATAGAATAATTTGAATGATAAAAAGTTAGCTCCAATAATTAGGCTTCTAAGATTTGACACTAACAAATGCCACAAGAACATTAAACATGCTGAAGAACATAATTCTAAATAGTTCTTTGAACAACCTTCGAGTTTCATATGTTTGAAAGATGGGAAAATTGCTATAAATTTGCATGTCACATTATAAGCTATGCAAAACATTTTAAAGAGCTGCAGTTAAATTTCAGAACAATTTTTCTATAATACTCCTGCATTCCATGTACAATGGCTCAAAATATGTTACTTTGACCAGTACAAGTAAATCTCAAATCCCTGGAACTTCCTGAAAATGTAACCTACAAGAACCTATTTTGCTCAAAGGATTGGATCTTAGTCAAGACTGCAAATGCTATATAGATGTCCATCATTGAGACAGAATTTAAGATCAGCAATGAATGATCCGCAGAACACTTTCCTGCAAATGTCTTAATAGGGTATTGCACTGGGACATGCAGTTAGTAAGTTGTTTTGATGCAGTGGCCTTTACAGGAGTTTAGGATCTGTGAGAAGTGAAAACTACTGCATACATCTGCAGTCTGATTAAGAACAGAATTGTGACAATGGCAAGCAGAGACTGAATGAAGAAATTTAATTAACTCAATGCAAAATCAATTACAGTACTGAAAACAAAATAAGGGAAAGAAAGATGGAACTGAGAAATTAAAAAGGGACCAAGAAAACATTAAAACGTGTAACTGAGCATGTTTAATTAAGTTGCTATCTGATTTATACTTTGGTAACAATGAAGGTTATTAGCCTCACCATTATTTTACCCACAAAATCTTGGCCATTGTCTCTACCATATCAATTTTATTTTTGCAATGTTTTTCAAAAGCTTTGAAAATTCTGCCCATAGATATTTGTCATAGATTAAAAACGTGAGAAATCACACTATTGTCACCGTATCACACACAGAAATAACACTGTTGACATAGCATGACAAATTAATAGACACGTTGCTTAAAATCATATTGTCATAGAGTCATACACCACAGAAAGAGACCCTTCGATGCAATCAGTCCATGCCAAACATAATCCCAAACTAAAATAGTCCCCCCTACCTGCTCCTGGCCCTTATCCCTCCAAAACTTTCCAATTCATGTACCCAGCAACTATCTTAATTGTCTTCATTGTTTTGAAGCATCTTAACTTGATTATCAGGATATATTACAAAAGTCACTTTCTTTCACAATTGCAGGGTCAATGGTTAAAGGTGATATGTTTTCACACTACCCTTCAGGCACAAATAATCAGAAGAAAGAGAGTATAAAACATTTTCTAGACTGTAATAATATACATTCCTAATCACGGCTTCCATCAAATAACCCATCTGACACCCAACAGCTACTGCTGTCATTGGATATTGCATATACTGCCAGTCTAAACTGGTCAACTAGGGATGTTTCAACCTGCTTTTGAAAACTGAACCCAACGTAAAAGGTTTGGATCGCTACTCTTCTGAGGTGCAGTATCCAATACACACAAAATCTACATCATCCATTTAATTAGCACAAATTTTGGTTTAGGCGAAGAAGCTGGTCACCAAAATGATATTCAGCATGTTATTTTTTTCCATTTCTGATTCAATCTAACCAAGAAACATCAACTACAATTAGCAATATTTATTACTGTTACCAACACAGGCAATATTGAATAAAAATAAAAATTTGTGAGTAACCTCAAATATATTGACAGAAATAACAGGCTGAAGATCATTTTAAAAATTCAGTATAGCTGAGTCATGCAATCTTTTTATATTGAAACAGGCTTAGCCATTTCAACTGGCGTGGCTGTCATGGAAAACACCCAAGCACCCAAGTCTTGACATTGAAAAATAGTGTTTGAATGTCATTAAGATCCATTGTGTTAGATAACCAAAGATGAGAAACTAAGTATCAGGACTAAAAAATTATGCAATTAGTGTTTTAACTCACAAATAATATATCCCACACATTACAAAAAGTGGAAACTAAGCAGGAAAGGAGAAAAGTATTAGGCCCAGATTTTTAAAAGCAAAAAAAGAACAAAGGCAAAGCAACTTGCAGTAAGGGAAATATAAAAATGGTAAAATTGTATAAGCAATAGGAAAAGACAATGTGGCTTAGAAGAAGTGGTTATAGGACATCAAACAAGAGGTAAAATAAGTCTTGCAGGATTTTGAAATGAGCATCAGAATCTTAGATTTGACTCATTGGTGTTATGGACCAGACTAAACACCCTCAAAATATTTTAAGATAGCCCAGACCCTAACTACTACTAATTTTGAAAGCAAGAGCCAAGCATTGCGATCCAGATGCAATTTGATTGGTCTTGAACCAAACCACACTTTATTCATATATTTTAGTTGAAATACAACCAAAGAAAGAAGAAATTGGAAATAACTAACGGAAAACTTAACAGAATAATAGTTTATTTAACTACTAAAGAATAACTGTTTCATGTTAGTAACATCCCATAAACACACACTCAGAAAAATCAAATTCAGTAAAAGAGATTGTCTCACATGCAATTCTCCAGTCCAGGAGAAAACTCAGACAGTAGCCAGGAGAGATGTACTGTAGTTACCAGAACCAGCTTCAAGACCCCAGCAGCAACTGTTACTGAAAACACTAAAACTAAAAATCTTGGATCAGTAGGATCTTGACCCCACCCATTCAAGCTGCTTTTGTTCCTACTTTTAAAAAGAAAACACCCAAGGCTTCACAAACTGTTTATTTTATGGGCTCTGATAAGACTGCTCGCTACCTCTCAATCTGTCTTCATTTAAAAAAAAGGGACAAAATACACCTTTTAAAGCCATAGTATAGTCACCTTGGGTGCAGGGAATCACTCTGTCCAAGAACAGCAATGATAAAAGTGCAAGACTGAACAGGAGACAACTTGTGAAGCAGACTACAGCATCAGGTGGAAGTTTTTAAAAGACTGACAATTAGGAGAACTGCAAAGAGACATTTCAGAAATGTACCTTCAGATAATAGAGCCATGGACTTGTACAATTGAAAGGAGACTGCGTAATAATGTTACCGTATGACCAGAAGCGTTTCAGCTTTTTGATACCAGGAAAGGTTTGGAAGTAACTCTGAATCAACAGCAAAATCTTTTACATAACCAAAAAGTTCTTAGTGGAATTGGTGTTTTAAAAATATTAAATAGAAGAATTAAATGATGAAAACTAGAAACATATGAAAGGTTAAATCATGTTACAGTGCATCATATAGAAATGCTTAAATGTAATACAATCATCTTCCTGTTTGGTTGTGTTCTAACATTTATCTTAATTCTTCAAGTATTACAAAATAAATTCAGAAATTCATCATGGCCAGGCTGCATGGTTTGCAGACAAATATACCCATTTCACAGACTTACACCCCTGGTTACACAGAATCATAGAATCCCTACATAGTGGAAGCAGGCCAGTTGGTCCAAGTCCATGCTGACCCTCCAAACAACATCCCACTCAGACCTACCCTTGCTACCCAATCCTTGTAACCACATATTTACCATGGCTAATCTGCCTAGCCTGCACATCCCTGGACACTATGGGCAATTTAGCATGGCCAATCCACCTAATCTGTACATCATTGGATTATGGGCGGAAACCCACCCACACTCAGGGAGAATGTGCAAACTCCACACGAATGGTCACCCGAGGGTGGAATCAAACCTGGGTCCATGGTGCTGTGAGGCAGCAGTGCTAACCTCTGAGCCACTGTACCGCCCCTACATCATCGGACCATATCAATCAGCTAAAAGTCTGACTTTTAAAGAAGGTTTACATTACTGTAACTGATTAAACACTTGCCCAGCCAAATTGTGAAAATGAAATCAAAGTTAAAACATTTAAGCAGCACATGAAAAAGACAGGAGGAAGGAAACAGAATTAAAATAAGGACAGGGTTAGGAGATCGAAATGTTTGAATTTTTTAAAATTCACAACTGGGACACGGTATTGCTGGCTGGCCAGCATTTATTGTCCGTCTATAGCTGCCCTTGGAAAGGTGGTGGAGAGCTGCCTTCCTGCACCACTGCAGTCCACATGCTACAGGTTGACCCACCATGCCTTTAGGGAGGAAATTCAATGATTTTGACCCAGCAATACTGAAGAAAGGGCGATATATTTCCAAGTCAGAATGGTGAGTGGCTTAGAGGGGAACTGGCAGCTGGTGGTGTTCCCACGTATGTGCTGCCTTGGCCTTCTAAGATGGAAGTGGTCATGGGTTTGGAAGGTACTGCCTAAGGATTTTTGATGAATTTCTGCAGTGTATCTTGGAGATAGTACACACTGCTGTTACTGAGCATTAGTGGCGGAAGGAGTGGATGCTTGTGCACATGGTGCCCATTGAGTGGGTTATTTGTCCTGGAAGATGTCAAGCTTAAGTGTTGGAGCTGTACCTTTCAGGCAAGAAGGAAGTATACTATCACACAGACTTTTGCCTTGCAGATGGTGGACAGGCTTTAGAGAGTCAGAGGTGAGTTACTTGCTGCAGTATTCCTAGCCTCTGACCTGCTCTTAAAGCCACTGTGTGTATGTGGCGAGTCTAGTTGAGTTTTTGGTCAATGGTAACCCCAGTAGGATGGTTTCAGTGATGTTAACGCTATTAAATGTCAAGAGGTAGTGATTATATTGTCTCTATTGTAGATGGTCATTGCTTGCCATTTGTATGGTGCGAATGTTACTTACCACTTGTCAGCCCCAGCCTGGATACTGTACAGATCTTGTTACATTTGAACATGGACTGCATCAGTATGAGAAGTCACGAATTGTCCTGAACATTGGGGATGTTCGCTCGTGATTGCATACTTCTGGCCTTTATGGGAAGGCAATGGCCTAGTAGTATTGATCACCAGACTATTAATTTAAAGACCTAAGTCATATTCTGAGGACTCGGGTTTTAAATCCTGCGATGGCAGATGGTGGAATTTGAATTCAATAAAAATCTAGAATTAAGAATCTAATGATGATCATGAAACTGTTGTTGATTGCCAGGAAAAGCCCATCCGATTCAAGAATGGCCTTTAGGGAAGGAAACTACTGTCCTTACTTTGTCTGACTCCAGAACCACAGAAATAGGGGAAAATCGGGGAGAAATTTATTCTTAACTGTCCTCTGGGCAATTCGGAATAGACAATCAGTATCCACATTCCATGAATGAATTAAAAAGAAATTTTAAAAAAGGGATGGTCATTGAAGATAGCTTGGTTGAGGACACTACCCAGGGGAACTGCTGCAGAGATGTCCTAGACCTGACATGGCTGACTTCTGACAACCACAACCATCTTCCCACGTGCCAGATATGACTCCAACCAACAGAGAGTTTGCCCACTGAAACCAAGTGATTCCAGTTTTCCTGGGTCTCCTTGATGCCACACTTGGTCAAATATAGCCTAACGTCAAGGACTATCACACTTACCTTATCTCTTTTGTCCATGTTTGAACCAAAGCTATAGTGAGGTCAGGAGCTGAATGACTCTGGCTGGACCCAACCTGGCTTCAGCAAGCAGGTTATTGCTGAGTAGGTGCTCATGCACTGCTGATGACACATTCGTCACTTTACTGATGATCGAGAGTAGACTGAGTGGGTGGTAATCAGCCTGGTTGGCTTTGTCCTGCTTTTTTTTTTTACAGGGTATACATGGACAATTTTCCATATTGTTGGGTAAAAGCCATTGTGTAACTGTACTGGAAAAGCTTGGCTAGGGGAGCAGCAAGTGCTGAAGCACAAGTATTCAGTACCATTGCCAAAATGTTATCAGAACCCACAGTCTTTGCGGTATTCAGTGCCTCCAACTATTTCTTGATATCCCAAAAAGCAAATCACATTGGCTGAATACTGATATCTGTGATGCTAGGGACCACTGGAGGAGGTCAAGGTGAACCTACTCAGCATTTCTGGCTGAAGACTGCAGCAAATGCTTCTGCCTTATATTTTGCTCTGATCTGTTGTGCATCATGGAGAATGGGGATATTTGTGGAGCCTCCTCCAGCGAGTTGTTTAAATTGTCCATCACCATTCATGACTGGATATGGCAGGACTGTGGAGCTTAGATCTGATCTGTTGGTTGATCTGTCATTTAGCTATATCACTTGCTGCTTATGCTGCTTGGCAGCTTTATGAGGTTAACCCTTCATTTTTAGATATGCTTGGTGCTGCTCTTGGCATGCCCTGCTGCCCTCTCCACTGAATCAGAGTTGATCCCCTGGCTTGATGGCAGTGGTTAAGTGGGAATTTGCTGGGTCATGAAATTGCAGATTGTGTTGTTGTACAATTCTGCTGCTGTTGATGGCCTGTAGCACCTCCTAGATGCCTAGTCTTGAGTTACTAGATCTGTTTGAAGTCTGTCCCATTTATCACAATGATAGTATCACACAACATGATGGAGGGTATCCTCAATGTGAAGACAGAACTTTGTCTCCACAAGAGATAGTAGGA